TCTGCTTCAAGGTCATTCATTACTCTTTCCAAGAATTTCAAAGAGAGTATTGAGCAAGGTGTTCATGTGGTAGGCATGGGGGTGGAGGGAAAGCAGTAGGAGGTCAGGTTTGGAAGGAAATGAACTCTCAGAAGGAGCTACATGCTATGGGAACAGAGGAGATGGAAGGGTTAATTCTGAAGAGAGGACTATTCAGGGAAGGCTTCTTGGAAGAGGCAGCCTTTGATCTTAATGTGAAAGACTGAGAAGGATTTTCATAAAGAAAGAGAGTGCAGAGGGCATTCTGAGAAAAATGGAAAAGCTTCAGAAAAGGCACAGGCAGAGGCCCCAAAGCAGACACTGTGTTTGGGGAAAAGTGAGTTATGTGTGACCATAGCACAGGTTTGTGGCAGGACTTGGGGATAAAGTTAGGCTAGACTAACTAGTTTTAAGGGCAGGTTACAAAAGATGGGATTTGAGCTTTTTTTGGTGGGTAATGAGAAGCCCTGGAGAGGGGTGGTGTGACTTAAACCTCCAAGTGGATGGATAGCTCCACTTAGTCTCCTCAACCACAGTTCAGCCACTTCCTCCTCACTTCCTGGTTCATCCCTTATGTGGACACACCCAGGACTCTGCTGGCCTGAGCCCCCATCGTGTGACCCTCACTCTGCTCTCCCCCACCCCTGTTCACCTGTTCTGACTGGGTGAGGATGCTGGGTTCTAAGAGGGCAAGAGCAACCGCAGAGCAGAGGCGCATGGGGAGCTGTCCACGGTGCTGAAACAATGCCGCTCCCAATTTTAAGCATTAACTGTTTAACAACTGGCTCCCACACTGTTGTTACTTTGGGGCAAAGAATTTCATTCCCATTTAACAAATGAGAAATAGAAGTCTGAAAAGTTAGCAGAGCCAGAGACAGGAAGTTGGTCTCTTTCCTTCCAGCCCAGGGCTCTTTACCCGCAGCCAGCAGCCCCGGTGTGATTCAGCAAAGCACACCCCAAATGATGCCACTGCTGCTGCCAAGCTGACAGGGAACATGCCCAGACTGTCTTCCTCCATCTCTGTGTCCATTTCCCCAAATACTGACAGGTGTGTCCATCCCACAGTGTCTCCTGAGACGGACCATTCAGGGTGACCCACAGGTAACTGGGCTGTCCTGCCTGAAAGAGCAGCTGTGCTTGTTCATGGCTCTGCTCCAGTGGGAACCGCTGGGTGTAGTTTATCCTGACACTCTCCTTGCAGGGAAGTGCTGGCCTTAGGGGAAGTGATGTTCCCTCACCACTCTCATAGTTGACCAATAATTACTACCATTTTACCAGGTGTTCACTGTGTTCCAGACACTGAGCCACAAACTTTCTATATGAAGCTTCTCATTCTCATGACAAAGTCTCCTCTCCTCTCCTCTCCTCTTAACAGATGAGGAAATTCTGGCTTAGGTGGGATATGTGACTTGCCAGTAGGCAGACTGGAGATTGGAGGGCCAAGATTTGAACCCAGATTTGTGTGATTCCATGGTGACCCATCATTCAAAGCCTGTCATCAGGGGCTCCCACAACTACTGGCTTTGTGATTCTGGGCAAGTTACTTATCCCATTTGAACTTCAGCTCCTCATTTTTAAATTGAGGAATGTTCAAGTGCACCTCCGGACAGTCTTATGAGGAATAGAGACGAAGCATATGCTGCAAGGACTCAGTGTATGCTGCTAGTTGTGAATATGATAATTACTGGGCACAAGCTCTTTGAAGGTTGGATGGGCATCTGATTAGCCTTTCCTTACCCCCAGCTACCCACTAAGTCCTTGGCAGAGTAAATATTCAGTGTCCTGGTAAGAAAAGAGGGAGCATGTGAAGGCCGGCACATCCAGAGTGCCAGGCAGGGCTTGCTTCTGCCCCATATTCTCATGGCCTCGGGGTGGGGACCACCAGTCATTGGGCTCCCAAGGATGTTCTACCTCATCACATTTACGTTGAGCCTGAGGCCATTTCCAGCCTCAGAGACTCTGCTTTCATAAAGCTGTCCCAACATCCTCCTTAAAGGGCCCTTGACAGGGAGAGCTCTGGTGGGAGGAGACAGCTGAGGATGCGGCATCACACCTATTACCATGTTGGCTACTCACATCCAATACCAGAACTAATGTGACTCCCATCTTACAGATGAGAAAACTGAGGCCCAGCAAGGTGAAGCGACATGTCCAAGGTTACTAAGCCTAGGATCAAGGTCTTCAAGCACTCAGAAAAGGGTTCTTTTTATTAATCTCTAATTAATTGCCCATCCTAAAAATCACTCAAGGAAAAAGTCAGGTGCATAAATTCACAAACCAACCAACAAATGAAGGCATTGCTAATTATGATTGACTGTGTGACATTTTGGGAGGGTCTCAGCCAAGTCTGCTCTGCTGATTGCTCCAATTGCTCACTCTGACCAGGGCTGGCTAATTGCAGGAAGTCACATTCATTCAGAAGCTGGGGTGAAGGCAACAGTAATGAGTACCCCCTTGGAGCCTGGTGCATGCAGGAATGAGTCATGGGATATGAACAATTGACTGTTCTGTACTTCAAGTGGCTCTTGCTCAACACCCAACTGGGCCCCAGAAGAGCCCTTCCAGGTATAATGAGGATGGGCAGGAGGAGATGAACGGAAATCCACAGATTCTCACCAGGGCAGCTTGGCTCACAATCTGTCTTAGCCCCTGAGCTCCAGGCAGGTGGAATACAACATCAGGCTGATTCCTACAAGTGCCAAGGTCCCCCAAATTCAAGGGCAGGGAGTCATTAGCATCCTAGATGGGAGAAAGGGAAGCAATGACGGACACTAGCCTCCCTGGGCCCTTCCAGGGCCCTGATTTCCCCTTCTTTTGAGGATCAGTGACTAGGCAGGCAGCTGGAGATGAAGCAGGAGGAGGGATAGGAAGGAGGGACTCTCAGCAGGCCCGAAGACAATGTAGACAGTCAGACTGTAACAACCTCAGTGAGGCCCCCTCACTCCACCAACACACACATACCTTATCCCTGCTTTCCCTCCTTCCCCCCAAAACAGTGTGTTTCCTGACGTGATCCTTGGAGTCCACACAGTAGACTATCTTAGAAATCAGTGGGTTCGTCTTCCCTGCACATTCACCATTTACAGATGAAGAAACTGGACCCCGAGAGGGAAGCCACTTTCCCAAAGTCATGGAACTACCCTGGCAGCCAAGCCGTGATGGGGTCGGGCTGGCCCACTAGCAGTCTGCTGTGGGCAGCACACTCCAGCTGGTCACTTGATTATGTGAGACTCTTAATCCCAAACAACTATTCTATCCTCCCTAAACCCTAATCCTAGCTCACTCCATTTTTCTATGAAGTAATGGAGAAAGCTCACAACAATAAAGGAAAATTAGAGAAGAAACCTGCAGGAGGAACAGACTTCTTTCTCTTTCAGAGATGCCACTGGACTTTACTTTCACCCAGTTTTATCTGCCCTGGAGAGGAGGGAGGAGGAGGCGAACAGGGTTTTGTTCTATCCTCCAGGGCAGCCCGCCCACAGAAGACCCTGTCCCCAGCCACACCCTCGCTCCCAGAGCATGGCGAGGGCTCCCCTACCTTGGCAGCACATTGCCCTCAACCAGGCCATACTCAGACCAGATATATCAGCATTTCTGGGAAAGGGGGCCCCCGGCCTCAGTGTGCTAAAGCTCCCAGGTGATTCCAATGGGCAGCCCAAGTTGAGCACCATCCCCTTTCTACCCCTTTCTAGCAGCAGTGCCATCACCTGGAAGCTTACTAGAAACGCAGAACCTCGGGCCCCTCCCCAAGTCTGCTAGATGAGAACCTGCACTAATGAGGCTCACCAGTGATTCCTAAATTCATTAAAGTCTGAGATTCCCTGAGGCAAGGTACTTTGTAAATCCTCCCTCTGTACCAGACAGCAATGTTGCAAGGCAGGTGTTCCATTCCACAGGTAAGGAAACTGATCCCGAGAGAGGTTAACTCACTGGCCCAAGGTCACACAGTTGGTGAAAAGGACAGCCAGGATGTGACCAAAGGCTACACTTTGTACCACACAAACCATTTCCCACAGCACAATAGGAAATATGGCCATGGGGGACCCCTGAGTTCTGGGTCATGAGACCGACTGGGCACACAACACTTTGGAACAGTGTTCCATTTCCAGCATCAAGTTCCCTAACCTTATGGAGAGCATAATTCATGAGGAAATACAAATAGTAAACAAACACATGAGGAAAAGGTTCACTCTCCCTAGTAATCAGGGAAATGTAAATTAGAGCAACACTCAGGAGTCATTTTCTACCTATATAATTAGCACAGATTTTAAAAAAAGAATGTCAGCGAAGTTGTTTTGAAATAGGTACATTCACACGGCTGGTGGCAGTACAGATTTATATAACCCTTGAGGAAAGTAATACAACAACATCCATCAAGAGCCATAAATATATTATGCCCACTGACCCTGGGAATTCACCCTAAGGAAATAATTCAATAGAAGGGGAAAAGCTGTTTGTAGGAAGATGCTTATTGTAACATTTACAGTGAACACTGGAAACAACTCAATATTTAGTAGTAAGGGGATGGCTGAGTAAACCGGGGGTACATCAGCTCCTGCAGTGTTAGGCAGCCATTTAAAATGATAATTAAGAAGCCCAAGCAGCAGATGTGGATGAAAGCAAGCAGAATGCAAAACTGTCTATGTGCACTGTGGTTATTATAATGTAAAAATATTGTGTGCTTAAAGATACAGACAGGGAGGAGCTGGGTACAAAGAGGACAAATGGTGTTTCAGGGTGAAGGGACAATAGACCCCTTTCTTCTGTTACTTTCACAAGACAAACCCCAGCACAATTGGTCCTTAGAAAACAGCCTTGAGGGCTCTCTGGTATCTCTGAGGCGGACATGGAGACACTCCTGTTCTTCATTCCTGGGCACAGGGCCACACTCCCCGATTCCACCCAGGGGTAGGAGGAACTGGCCCTCTTCTCCTGTTCTGGGGTGGGGGCACAGAGGCCATGGGAGACCCCTCCCATCTTACCATGTAGCCTGGGGCACAAGTGCAGCTCCCGGTGATGCTGTGGCAGTCGGCGCCATTCTGGCAGGTGCAGGGCAGCCAGCAGCCATTGCCGTAGAAGCCAGCAGGGCAGGACTCGTTGCAGTGGTGGCCAGACCAGCCTGGCTGGCAGGTGCAAGCGCCAGTCACTGGGTGGCAGCTGAGCAGTTAAGAGAAGGATGAGAGGCCGATCTGGCCAGGGATGTGGCCATGTCCCACCCTCTGCCCACCCCTAGTCTAGTCTCCGCAGGATGAAGGCTCAAGGGCCTCTGTGGCTGAACTGCTTAATGCCTTGTTTGTTTGTCAGAAGATGCACAGTCAAGATGTCTTATTATCCCCAAGAAACTGGAGGCTCATGGTGGTTATATAATTTGCCCAAAGTCACAAAGAAGGAAGTGGTCAAGTCAGGATTAGAATACAGGTCTCCTGACCCCCAAACAAGTGCTCTTTTAATACAAATACACAGAAACCAAAGCAGAAGCCAGCGTCTTCTATCCTCCCATTCTGGACTGTGAGGGTCAGAGATTCACCCACCTTACACCCTTGGCAGATGCCTCGTGAGGGGCAGGCACAAGAGGGTTGCAGTGAGACCTAGGAGCTTTGTGGATTGTAGGTTCCAAGTGCATATTTGCTGAGTTAAAATGAGACCCCAGGGCAGATGTGACCTCCCCTCCCTGACACTGTCTGTACTGAGAGGATATCCTCCATCCGTGCTTGGTAGGGCTCTTTAGGGGTGAGTGAGAACGTCTCCATCCCCTATGTCTAGGCTAGAGAAAGAACCACTTGGTTGGAGGCAGGGCCTGCCTGCCATGACCTCTGGAGAGTGGGGCAATGTCTGGCTGGCAAAGGTCTGATCCAAAAGCCAATATCCACCCATGATTGGAGGAGATGCCAGGTGTGGTGATGATGCAGAGCATCTGTGGGGAATGTAACTGACCGAGGCCCCAGCTGCTCTGTGTGAAATGTGTCAGTCCATTCTCTCAGAGGCCCACTTCCCCAGGGCTGCTCCCAGCTAGAGCACAGCAGGGACATTAAGGCTGCACATTCCTGGGAGACCTGGGACTCAGATGCTGACGCTGGCTTACAGACTCCCCATCTTGTCCAACTTCCTTAGAACTGTACTGCAGTCTAAGACTCCCCACCCAGCTTCCTTCCTTCCCTCTCTCCTTCACACAGGCCAGCCCTGCCCTCTGTCAGGCACTCTCCGTCTGCTCAGGACTCTCTGCCTTTGCCTTCACAGCTGTTGGCCTAGTCAATCTCCTGCACTCGGCATGCGCTCCTGGGAGGACCCAGACCTAACACTCCAGAGAAGGTGCTGGATGGTGGAGCCAAGCCTTTTAGATTCCCTGAAAGAGGCCTGCTCTGGGCTGGCAGGAGGAGCCTGGGTGCAAGGCTTGGTTCTGCTCAATTCCACGAGGACTTGGGCTTCGTCTCCCTGGGTCCTTGGTGCCTGGCTCATATTCACTGCCCAATTAACTATCTGGGATGAATAGTACTTTCATTATGAGTAATTATTTTCTGTGCCTGTTGACTTGTTTATCATCTGTCTCCCCCACAAGGAGGCAGCTCAGTGAGGGAGGATCCTTTGTCTGTTTCACCTCTGTATTGCACCCCAAGGCTCAACAGAGTCCCTGGCATGCTGGAGATGCTCAATACAAATGTGGCAAATGAATTAATGAACACACTAATTGTGTGAAGCCCAGCCAAGCCGTTTCTCCCCTGGGAGCCCTGGTTTTCTCAAGGAAAATGAGGCATGGACAGGAGCAGACAGTTCCCGAATAGTAAGTGCAAGTAGCTAATAATCATTCTGGAAAATGTTTAGTCTTATTAATCATCAAGTCAAAAATAACAGCTGGATATCACTTTTTCCCTATCAAAATAGTGAAGTTTTTTGTTTTTTTTAAAGGGACAATACACAATGCCGGTAAAGATTTCTTGTGGAAAACAATTTGTGGTCATGTATCAGGAATATTAAAAATATTCAGTCCCTTTGGTCTTGTAATTCCATTTCTAAGAATCTATCCTGAGGAAATAATCATAGTTGTGGGGAAAGATTTATGCACAGCGATGCTCCCTAAAGCATTATTTATAACAGTGGAAAATGGAAACAACTTAAATAATAATAAATGTGGCCAGGTTATTAAAGCACCAGGCACTTCACACATATATTTCTAGTCTTCAAATAAGCCCGTGAGTTAGACAGCAGAGCCTCTATCTTAGATGGCACTCTGAGGTTACATGACTTGCTTAAGGCCACACAGCTAAGTCAGCAGCAGCTGAGATTCAAACCCAGGCCTGTCCATGTTCTGTCCACTGCCTCATGCCACCTCTGACAACAGGGTACTGGTTAAGTGAATTATGACAATTCATATGAAGAAATGCTAGAGAAGTAGTCAGATGTTTTCCAAACTATTTAACGATACAAGGTTAAGGCAAATAAGCAAATTTATACACAAAGTCATAATCTAAAATATGAAAAAAGTGATATAGAAGTATCCAGACATGGTTGAAGAATGAACAAATGACAACAAAATGGCTTTTGTGCTCACCTCTGGGTTGAGAAATTATAAGAGTCTGAGTTCTTTTTCTTTAAATTTCTATGTATTCTCTAACTTTCCCAAACAGAGCACCTGTTATATTTATAATCAGATATAAAACAATAAAAATTGTAAATATGTAAAATAAACGTGCGTAAGGGATGAGTGTTTAAAGATTTTCTGACCTTCACGGTTCCAGAAAAACTCCTCCCTGAGCCACACACGATACAGGGAAATAGTGGGGCTGGGGGCCCCCATTTGGTGGTCCTGACCCTCAAGCCAGATGGTCATTGGGCACTCCTCTGTGTCCCCACACTCTGGGGAGAGCCCTTCGGCATGGCCTTCCTCTGCTCCTACCTTCCGGAGCCTCCTCTGAGGTTTTGATTAAGGATCAGGGAACCGGCTCAGTCACAGGCACCGAGGCCGACCTGCTTGGGCCAGGAGATGCCCTGGCAGGATTGGTGGCGGCAGTCAGCTCTGCCCGGCCCCAGAGATGCTACAGGGTCTCAGCACCCTTCTGCCTTTCCCATCAATAGATTATCTCGTGATGTGGCCTGGCTCTGGCTGGAAGGCCACCCTGTGAGCAGTGCACTAGACATGCAGGGCGCTAGCAGGCACTGATGCCGAGGTACTCCTGTGCAGCCCACCTTCCATCTCAGCGGCCCCCATTTGGACGGCGTAGGGGTGCGTCTCAGCGCCAATTTTACTTTTACTCTGAGAACCAGAAAGCTCAAAAACAAATCTGAAATCATTTCTTTCTCTTTCCTTTCATGTCCCTAAAATTCTATTTTAAAAAAGAAGGTCTCTATTTTTTTAGTTGGATTGCTTGTCATTTATTATAAAAATTCCCAAATCCCTTTGAAAAGTGGGTGGGGAGCCGTGTATGACTGAGAACTATGGTCGCCATTCTCAAGGCACCTTGTCATATCCCCTGCTCCTAGGCATCCCCTGCTCCCTGCTGCCCATTTCCTTGGGTCACATGGTGGGCCGGTGACTGCTGGTTAGGCTCTGGCGGAAGTCACACACAGTGTTTAGGCTGGTTCGGTTTGCTGTTTTTTTCCTCACCTTTCTGTCATTTTCCCCAGACATAGATTAATCACAAGTTAATAGGAGCTGAAGGCTGAACAATACAGGGAACTTTTCAGGGTGGATTTTTCTGGTTCTTTTTTTAGCTACTCTGAGATTTCTATCAATGCTGCATCTGTTGGCTAAATCAAATCTTTCAAAGGTAATACACGATCATGACTGCTAGAATTTGTCTGTGACAATCCAATTGTGGAGGGGACATGGAAGAGGCCTGGCACACAGGCACTCTCTTTCCCAAGGTTATTCCTTTATGAAGGAGGGTGGTTTTTTTGTGTGTGCTACAAAGCGTTTATAAAGGGACTGAAGAGTCGGGGAATCTGCCAGCTTCTTCTTCCTTCCCAGAGCGCATGGATTCGACCTCTTTGAAGCAGCCTCTCCAGAGCAGCACAGGGCAGGGAGAGGCGAGATGAGCAGTGTTTCTTTGGTTGGGGGTTGGGAGCACTTTGCCTCCCTGGGAAAGATGCTCAAGGCCTAGCAAGCTGTCCTGGCAGGGCCCTGTTGTAAGTTCTTGCAGAAGCTGAGGGAAAAAAGGATAGGCTTCTGGGGAGCCCATGCTCCACCTCTAGTGGAGTTGGGTGGACACAAGAGAACTTTTACCCCCACCAAGCTGATGAAAGGTGATGAACAGATTGGGAAACTGAGGCATAGAGAGAGAAAGTATAACATATTAGGACACTTGCTCAGATGGAGGGGGTTATGAGGCCAGGACTCAGGGGCCCTGGTCCCCACCCAGAACCTGCAGCGTAACTGCCTTGGGATTAGGAGTCATAGAGCCGTCCCTCTGCTCTTCCTGGATCCCAAGAGAAGGCTCTATAATGGGACAAAGGCTCATGGGAAGAGAGGAGTGGCCTGTGTCCACCCGGAGAGGAGAGCTGTTCTCTGCGTCCATGAGAACCAAGCCAAGCGCCGCATGAGAGCTCAGTCAGACCGGAGGCTCTCACCTCAGGCCGTTTTGCCTCCCCGACCCAGGAAGCAGTTTTGGTCATCAGAACTCGGGGACAGGGTGTTGCTACTGGCCTCTAGTGGGTGGAAGCCAGGGATATCGCTGAGCATCCCACAACCCACAGGACAGCTCCCCACAGCAAAGGGTTACCCAGCCCCAAACACCAATAGTGGTGAGGATGGGAAACCCTGACTTAGACTGAACTACTCTGTGAGTGCTGGGGGCTCTGCCAATCCCTGAAAGAGGCCTGCTCTGGGCTGGCAGGAGGAGCCTGGGTGCAAGGCTTGGTTCTGCTCAATTCCACGAGGACTTGGGCTTCGTCTCCCTGGGTCCTTGGTGCCTGGCTCATATTCACTGCCCAATTAACTATCTGGGATGAATAGTACTTTCATTATGAGTAATTATTTTCTGTGCCTGTTGACTTGTTTATCATCTGTCTCCCCCACAAGGAGGCAGCTCCGTGAGGGAGGATCCTTTGTCTGTTTCACCTCTGTATTGCACCCCAAGGCTCAACAGAGTCCCTGGCATGCTGGAGATGCTCAATACAAATGTGGCAAATGAATTAATGAACACACTAATTGTGTGAAGCCCAGC